ATATATGTTGCAACTAATTTTAGCTTATGTTGTAACATTTTGTAAATTTGAAATCAATTGCTGTACCATCTTTAGTTTTACTGTTTTGCCAAATCCAAAATGAGTTTAGACAAGCAATCTTAATTGCAATAGAATAATTTAATATATGAATGAATTAATACAATTCAAAAAGAAAATCCATTTGATAATAATGATGATAAAATTTTTTTGGATAGAGAATAGAATATAGATTTTAAAGTAAAAGAAAGGCAAATTTATTCTGCTGATAATCCAAAAGTAAAGTGAAATTAGAAACTTTATTTATTACTAATTTAGATGAATCGGTATATATAGAAACTGATTTTAATATTTTTTTGTAATCTGATTTTTTAAACTAATAAGTTTAGGTTATAATAAAACAATCTATATAAATTTATATAATAATTATTTATATTATATTTATTATATTTTAATTGGTTATTATTATTAATCACATGATTTTGATTATAAAGTCATATAGTTTTTAATTAATATCTAATGACCAGTCATTGGTCATATAAGTTATAAAGGTTATTAAAGGGTTATTGTCTAACACTATATAAAATCCATATTTTATATATATAATTTTTATTTATTAAATAATATATTTTATATAATATATAATATATAATTTTATATATTTATTTACTATAAAATATATATTATTTATATAATTTTTATCTATTTATAATTATATATTTTATATATTTTTTTTAAATATAGGGCCTTTGCAATAGAAAGGAAGGAAATTGCTGAAAAAATAAAAAATGAATTAATGCTAAATTTGAATATATTTTGGTCTAAAAATCATATTTGATATATAAAAGTAAAATTGATTTTTCCTAGCAGTTTCTCTCCTTTCTATTACAAAGGCCTTATATATTTTTTTCTACTTTTTTATTTTAAATTAAAGTTTTATTAAAGAAAAATCCATAAGCAGTAATGTTTTTTTGGAAGATTTGATATACTATTGAAAACGTCTTTAGAAGATTTGGAAGCATAATTTTCTAATAAACTATTTGCATTAGAACTTTTCAATTGAAATTTTATACTATTGAAAGCATAAATGCATATCACTATTCATAAGTATTTAAATACTTAGAATATTATTATATAGTATCATTATTCTTTAGAATAATATTACTTATTATTCTATTATATGATTAATTTATCATTCTTTTATAATAATATACTTTCATTATATTAAAACAATTAATGATACTTTATTTGAATTTTATATTTTAAATATTAAATTGAGTCAAATTAAAATTCAATAGACTTAACTTAAAAAATAAAGTTAAGTATTAACTTAATTCAACTCAACATTATTTAAAACTCTAATTAAATCTTAAAGATAATATCAAAATTATCAAAATACCTAATATTCTAATTTTGTACTTAAAATTTTATTTAAAATAACTATTCTAGCATTTATAATAATAATTATGTTATATTTATATTATTTTTTTTATTGATTCATTCACTAATACCATTTTTAATTTAGCAAAAAAAAACCAGCAACTCTTCATTGCCTTTCTTTTAATTAGTTTATAACTTTAGGTTTAAAACAAAATGACTAGATAACTACTAGTTCATTAACTTAACCTTTTGATAATCGATCGCTTTACTTTAAATACAAGGTAATTCTCGAGAAACCTTACTCGTAATATTTGGTTTATTTTTTCATTGATAATATATTTAATATTCATTTTCTATTAACAAAATGATGGTAAACCAATATTCTTTAGTAGTATTTTCTTTTATAAAGAAAAGCTGAAATGAATTTTAATATATCTAAATTAAATTGACTATGATAATCTAATCTAAAGTTTTATAGTGATAAAATATTGACAGGTTTTATTAGAAAACATTGATTAAGAAAATATCTAATCGCTTACAGTATTTCTCATAGCATATTCTGTACAAAATTTATTATATTCTCTCGAAGCTAAAGTAATTTTAGAAATTACGTGTTCATTATGCAGCTTTCAGTTTCACATTATAATTATATTTGAAATTTAAAACAAAGTAAGTAATCAATATGCCGTTCATTTTCAGAACTTATAAATTAATGAATAAAATCAACAAATGATTTAAACCGCTAGTGATATCAATATACGTTTGAATGTTTTTCTATTTTAATTTTAATGAAATTTTAGCTTTCCCCTGTTTCTATATTTGATCCAAAGTGGTTGACATTACGATCACATAACTCTGGCCATGAGCATTTACAAATCCTATCTGGATTAACAGTACGCAACGTAAGTGAAATTCTTTGACCACGATCTCTTATTTGTCCATTTTCTAATGTATCACTCTTCCGAGCTCTTAAAGCAAGTAAATATAATGCATTAAAATTTTGAATTTTGTTGTTTTTAGAGAAATCTCAAATATAAATTTATGTACAAACCTTATGGCATGACTCCACGCATACCTTGTTTCATCTTTTATGATCATTAAAGATCTTCTTGGCAAGTCAATATTTACCACTTTATTAGTCTTTATATTTTTAAATTCCATTATAACGGAACTTTCTAAACTAAATGCGATGACACTTGGACCAAATGAAGAATGACTATCCATATGAGGTGGGATGCCCGTACCAATAGGATAAATCTGTATAGTTAATTGTTCTAATTTTGGTATTGATGGAAATAAATTTCTTAATTTCTCAAGTAAAGAATTCATATAAAATGGAAATTCCGCCAATTTTATTCCAACTTGATTTATATCGTAATTAAAAGAATGTCCATAATGTAACTAAAAAATAAATAAAAAATACGTAATTTTTTTAAAACAAGAGGTAATTTTGTAGAAACAAATAAATTTATAAATGATACATACAACCATTCGATCTTGAACTGGAATCCATGATTTGGTTGAATATATTACTTGTAAAATCTCTTTTTCTTGTTCAATCGTAATAAATTCTTCCATTAATATTAAACCTGGAATATCCCTTTTATCCGAATTCTTGATTTGTTTTATAAAATTTTGATAATTCAAATTAACGTATTCAATAAACATGATTTTCCCGTTTAAAGCATCACATGATTTTTCATGAAGTGCTTCTCTTGCATGAAATGCATCATAAGGTGTATTGAATATGATAAAAGAATATGGCTATAACAAAAATATATATCCGGTATACAACAATTATCAAAGAGATCTAAAACAAATCAAAAAATGGATAATCAATCGTTATTACCTTGCCATGAGTTAACTTTAATCCAAGATAACCATTAAACGACTTAAAAATATTCGATAATTGTTCTGTCGTTACACCCCCAATCCCACCAAAACAAACATTGGTTAAGCATAAATATTGTGTATGTTCTAAGGAAAAAATTTTTTTCCAAGGAGCATTTTCAATCTTTTCTATAACTTCATATGCCTGTAATTTTTTTAATTGAATCCTTTTTAATTTTCTTGATTCATTACGTGTTATTGATGATGAATTATGGTTATTTTCCTCTTTTGAAGAATATAATGATGGTGTAAATACTTGGTATTCAAGATTATTTTTTGTCATTATAATGATTTATAATTTATTCGAAAAAAAAAAAAAAAAGATCGAGATTCTTATTTAACGAATAAGGAAACTTTCATCTATAAAATTCGCTTACAAACATTGTTTATATAGATAAGCAAAATCTAGTCAATCTAAAGATATGATTTGTGTAACAATTGATTATTATGCGCTTTGTTACACGAGACGTCCAGCTCAAAAATTGAGTCGATGCTTATGCATAAATGTTTACATAAATTGATTATCTTAATATCGAAAAAAAAAAAAAAAAAAAAAAATTATATATCGCTTCGTTTTCTTTTATATATTATTATTATTTTTTTTTTCTTTTTTTTCTCGAGACAAAACATCAAACAAGACTATGGCTGCCGCACCCCCTGCTCCCTTGGCACCCGCTACTGCTGGCGTTACCGTCAAAACTGAAAAACGTGAGTTGGAATAGCCTTGGTTAATTTTTTTTAACCAACTGAAGAAAGAATGTATTCAACGACGTTGGCCTTTTTTTATACAAACAAAAAGTGAAATTCTTTATTTTTTCTACTTGCTAATATATTTATTTATTATGACCATTTCATTAGCTCTTCCCTTCTTATTTCACTTTGCCGCTGGAGGTATAGCGGGAACAAGTGAAATTCTTGTCATGTAAGTTAACAAACCCATTGTTTTAGGGTACATGTAATCAGATTGTAATCTAAAGTTTTTTCATTATTTAATTAACAATTTTTAAATAATAGGTATCCACTTGATGGTAAGATATCAACCAAAACTCCATTTAAAACTTTAGACCCATAAATAATCCATAACATTTATAATAATTAGTCGTAAAGACAAGATTTCAATTACAAGTTGGATCGGGTGCAGGAGAAGAAGTTTATACTTCAGTCTCGGATTGTTTCAAGAAAATCATTAAAAATGAAGGGTAAATTATTAAATTATCAAATAATTTATTTTTATTATTAAATCGTTGAAATTAAATCTGCTCTTTTTTTCTTTTTTTCTTTTTATGGGTGAATCGATCAATAGATTTAGTCGTCTTTATAGAGGAATACTTCCTCCAATTCTTGTTGAAGCACCGAAAAGAGCGATAAAATTTTCTTCTAATGAACAATATTCTAGATTACTCAAAAAGTTAAATGGTAAAGATAAAATGGATCAGTCATTATCTATTCAAGCGGGTATTGCAGCCGGGTGTACCGAAGCTGTTGTAATTGTACCTTTTGAACTTGTTAAGATTCGTCTTCAGGATAAAGGAAATGTAAGTTTTATTTATTACAAAAAAGGAGACTTTTTTTTATAGTTTGTATTAAATATTCTTTTTGATTAAAAACATAGGCAGGAAAATACCATGGTACCTTTGATGCAATAACAAAGATTGTTAGACAGGAAGGACCTTTTGCTCTATTTAACGGATTAGAAGCTACAGTATGGCGTCATGCCATGTGGAACGGTGGATATTTCGGCATTATCTTTAGTATTAGGAAAGCATTACCAAAAGCAGAAGTAAATATTATTTTAAAAATGATGTTCTTCATAATTAATTATTTCAAAATTACTTACTAACTTAACATTTTATTAAAGAATAAACAACAACAATTAAGAAATAATTTTATTGCAGGAGCAATTGGTGGTACATTTGGTACAATGTTAAATACACCATTTGATGTGGTTAAAACTAGAATTCAAAATGATTCCGGTGCTGTTAAAAAATATAATTGGACGGTACCCGCTATCAAAACTGTCGCGCAAGAAGAAGGGTAATTCATTAAGATTTATATCTAATATTTATTTTATTTAAGAATTTTTTTTTAATTTTTTAATTTTTGTAGTTTTGGCGCTCTTTATAAAGGTTTTGTTCCCAAAGTACTTCGTCTTGGACCTGGGGGTGGTATCTTATTAGTAGTATTTGATCAAGTAACTACTTGGATGAGAAAATATTTTACATAAATAATAGATGTTTAGTTCCTTCTATTTTATAAATATCTTCATAATTAGACAGACAAATTAAAACTTGCAATATCAACTTTATAATATTTAACGAAATATAGATTTTTTTTATTTACGTTTTTTAATTTGATGACAAATTATAGAAAAAATCGAATCATTTTAAAATTCTTCGGAACATTGCATAATGCATATGTCTATAATAATAACATCTTTACTTATTATATATAAGATTCTTGTAATTTTTTATTAAAATATAATGAAAAAAAAAGTTATCTTATAAAATTATTAGTGGATTTATTCCAACATTATTATTAAAATTGAATAATTCGAAATTTAAAATAATTAAGGTGACGATAATAGAATTATTTAAGGGTTTTTATTTTCGTAATGACTTAATTCATGTCCTACAATACTTTTTGCAAATACGACATTACGAGTAACGACAAATATTATGACTCTCACTAACCTATTTAAAACTAAGATATGCATTTACTTTTTTTTGAAGTAAATGAATGTTCTATTAAGAAATATATTATGTATACTGTATATATATGGAAAATGTAGACTATTTGTGATATAACTGATAATCATTCAAGTAGTAGCATTTGCGCTATTAATAGTACCGTTATTATAAGGGAATATGGGTTGTGCTGCGTACGAAAGATTCGGTTGTGATACAGAATTATTATTCAAACTGGATTGTTGACCGTTTGTCGGATTACCATACGTTTGGGCGGTATAACTGGTATATTGTTGCGTACCAAACAGTGGTTGTTGAGTTGCGAAATGGGATAATTGCTGTTGAAAATATGGAGAATAGGTGGATTGTAATGCGTGATAAGGTTGATTCACTCCCATTCGAGTTCCATATCCACCTAGTGAAAGAATGGGCATTAATCAAAGAAAGTTCATACATTCCTACGATCACATCGTATTCGCTCACCGGTGTTGTTAAAATTAGCACGGTTCACATCAACACCAAGGTAATTATAGGTTGTTCCGATATAATTATTGTTGCTAAAATTATTATTATTATTTTTTTTTTTTGAAAAGTGAATCATTCTTTTTTAAGTTTCATACCAAATTTGAGATTTTTTTTTTTTAAAAAAAAAAAAGATGGTTTACCTTGTAACAATTCTTTTATTATTATTGCCTGGAGCATTCGGATCCCCTTTAACAGAAATTCCATTTGGTCCACTAACGTTAGCGGCTTGAAGACCTTTGGGACCTTTGATCAAGTCAAATTCTACCTGTAAAATATTATAACAATACATATTTTAGTTAACGACATATATACCTATTAACATGACAAATGATGGGTAATGAAACACTCACGTCTTCTCCCTAAGGAATGTGAATTAAGGTAAGGAATTAAGAACGAATTGGATGGACGATCATGGAGAAAAAAGTAGATATATAAAGAAGTGGAGATGACATATTAGGAATAGAAAACGTTAAAAAAAAGAGTATACTTATAATGCACTTATTGATACCTCAGCAAGGCTCTTAAAACCACCATTGTTATGAATTGCAGTATGATGCACAAAAACTTGAATAAATTAAATTCACCACATATAAAGTAAAAAAAAAGCAGATAGACAGAGAATTACAGAAGATAAAAGATGTTCACAGATATGAAAGAATATTAATATGATTGAAGAGAATTATGATATGCAAAATTGGTACAACATAAGGAAATCGTGTGCACAGGCCCAAACATTTTTGATCGAGATAAAAAACTAGATTGCTCTGCGCCACGTATTAGAACAATTATTACTTTTTTTGGAATGATCAAAAAAAATAAATAAGTTCTCAAATTTTAAGTTTCTAAACGCCAATTTATTAATCAAAACAGGAAAAAATAATTTGCACAAGTATAAATTAAGAAAGTAATCTTGATTATAAAAAAAAAATTTTCTATTCTCACCTTCTACTTTTTCACCAAGTCCAAGGTTTTGAGGAATGATAAATCCATATCCTTTCTGACAGTTAAAGAATTTGACTTTACCTTGCTTACGACCATAAGGAATTGTATTCATGATAAAATGACGCGTATCTTCTATGACAATAATAGACAAAACCGGTATATCAAGTTCATGAGTTATGGAAAATTCAACGTTTATGTTTGAAGCAAGTTTAAAACAAGCTTGTAAAAGATGATAAAAATTATTTTCAAAGAAACCAATAACTTACCGTTTTGAGATCTCAAAAAAAAATAAATAAATAAATAAAAATAAACACGAACGTTAAGTACGACTATAAAGGAAAAAAAGACTAAAGCTATAAATTATACAAAAAAGGATAAAGAGGTAGAAATATCTTTCGGCTTAGAAAATCTTTAAAAAAAAATTTTTTTTTTTGATTTATCCACGAAATTTCAGGAACGATCGTTTATATATACACAAGATTTTTATACTCTTGAAATTAGTCTTTTTTATTAGTAATTTAATAATGATGCAATAAGGAATAAGATATTATGTTGCGTCATAAAGTAAAATATATGAATCATAAACTAGAATTTGGTAATTAAAACCAAAGATATCATAGAAAAAGCGTATCAGAAAGTGGTTATATAAATAAAAAAAAAAAAAAAAAAAAAAAAAAAAAAAAAAAAGGACGATTTTTAAAAATATTTAATTTGTTTATTCTTTTATATAATTATAATTGTCTTTTAGATCATCATTTAGGATATTTATTCTGTCAATAAATGTCAACTTGAATGTGAAAAAGATAAATTTTTTCCCATTGTTTGACGTTTAAAAAAAATAAAATTCCATAAAAAGGTAATTATTTAAATTATTTTCAATAACCTAAAAAACACATCTTAAAAATCATCGTATCCAGAAAATTTTAAAACAAGTTTGAAAAAAAAAAAGAATCAATGACATCTTATCTAAAACAATACAGAATCAAATGACAATTGTAAAAAAATCTTTTGATTATTTCTTACCACATACAACAAAATTCGTTAAAGTTGATGGGAATTTCAGAATCAAAATATACTAATAAAAAATATAAACAACAAATCATAATGGAAAATGAGGTGTATCCATCACGTTGACGTTTATCTAAATTTAGATTAGTGCTTAAATTTGAAAGAAACCAACCTCCGAATTTGAAATATTGATAGTTTTCTTTTTCAAGAGCACCTTTTAACTTTATTATGTGGCCTTTTCGAAACTTTGGTATGGAATAAATTTTCTTCCTTTACACTGAATAACCACTTCAACGGTACATCATGTCAGAATATTGTATGTAACCTTCGTAATGTTCGTTTTCTTTTTTGCATGCATTGTAAGGATCATTATAATATATAAGCCATCGGGTATATGTCATGATAAATGTCGGTACGAAATGGATGAATTCCATTTTATGTTTGTGAATGCAAAATAAACGAAAAGAATATAGGAGCATTAAAAGTGGAAATATTAACAATTGATTAAAAAAATTATGAAAATACATTTTTTTTTTTCAAGGCAAATCAATCCTTTGTTGCATAAATATATAAACCTTTCATGATAAAAATAAATATTGTTTCGGGGTTATCGGGAAAAATTATCTTACTCAATTATAATATTAAATCCTAGAATTTCAAACACATGAAACAAGAACACATGAAACAAGTCAACAAAGTATTTTTTGCTACGTTATAATAGGACACATGGATCGGAGTTATTTAATTTTGAAATGTTTCACGATAAAACGTGAACGATTAACACGCAAGATACAGTAATACGATATCTCCGAACAATAATAAAATTTTCGAATAAAATAGATCAAAAGTATCGAACACTTTTTTTTTTTTAAAAAAAATACCAATAAGAAAAATTTATTAAATAAATATTTTTATAAATAATTAAGAACGAATCTTCAAATTTTCAATTAATTTATTAAAAAAGATGGGAAGACATTCGATATCTCGAGTGGAAGCACCTAAATTGTATAATCCTTATTCCTATCATCGACCACATTTTGTAAGATGGAAAGGCTCTGTCATCCCTAAAGTTCTTCCTTCAACAATTGCGGTCACCATAGTTGCCATCGTTGTTTGCATTGTACAATTAGCCGTTGGAATCAAAATAAGTATTCAATCATCGTTCATTACTATACTTGGTTTCGTTGTTGGTTTATTATTAACCTACAGAACGAATACCGCTTATGATAGGTAAGAATTTTAAAATTATTTCAAAGAAAAATTTATTATGATTATTATTATTACAAGAAAGAATGAAGTTCGTGTTAGCTCATCCTTGACGTTTATTTTTATTTTATACTAGATACTGGGAGGGAAGACGTCTTTGGTCAACAATGGTTGTTGCTATACGTAATTTATCAAGAAATATTTGGGTTAACATAAAAGATGATGATGAAATAAATGATTTATTAGAAAAGAAAACGGCAATTAATCTTTTATTAGGTTTCGCAGTAGCAACAAAACATTATCTTCGTGAAGAAGATGGGAGCCAATATGATGACCTTAAACCTTTAATTTCAAATATCAAATCAGATTTACCAGGATTTGAACCTTTAAATGAACAAGATTTAATGAAAAACGTAATCAAAACTGGTAAACAACCAAGTAAAAAATTGTTTAGCTCAAATGAAAAACTTCCTTCAATAAATCATAACCTTCCTTTGGAAATTTCGCATTATATTTCTTCTTATATTGATATTCAAAGAAAAAAAGATAATGTTGATGTTCCAACGACATCTTCCATGTACGCTTCCTTAAATTCTTTAGTTGACTGTTTAACTCAATTTGAAAGAATTTTAAGAAGTCCAATACCTTTAGCTTATTCTATTCATTTAAGTCAAACTGTTTGGATTTATTGTCTTAGTTTACCATTTCAATTAGTTGACACTGTTAAATATGTAACTATTCCTATCGTTTTCTTTGCCACACTTGTCTTAATGGGTATTATGCAAATTGGAGAAGAGATCGAAAATCCTTTCGGTTATGATGAAAACGATTTGGATTTAGATGATTTTTGCGGGTAAATACTCGTTGAAATATATATATATTTTTTTTATTACTTTTTTATGAAAATCATAACCATTTTTTCTTCTCTCTTTTTTTTAGTATACTTAAACGTGAATTAAATATAATTACTTCACATCGCAAACCGACTGTTGAAGATTGGGTTTACAATTCTAAAAATCGTCCATTTGGGCCCAATGAAGTTACCGCATCCGAAGCAAGTAGATTATCTATAGTTGAAGTTCGCAATTTACTTACAACTTCTTTTAATGATGATATAAGAGCTTCTATTAATAATATTAATGTCGTTAAAGAGAATAACGAGTCTGATATTACAATTAGAATCAATTAAAAAAAATATATATATATATTTCATTTTAGTAATTTTATTCATAAAAATTCATGAAAAAAAACAAATATTTCATTTTAGTAATTTTATTCATAAAAATTCATGTTTCGTTTTAATTTTAACTTTTTTTTTCTCGTTTTATTAAAAAAAATTGTTATCCATAAAAATTCACTTATAAATAAATCACATTTTCTTATTTTTTACCAAATATTATTTATTATTTCATTTATTTTTATTTTTTTCTTCTATACTCAAATATTTATAAACCTTTAGTAAATATGTCGGATATTTTCTTTATGAAATAAATGCCGGGCGTAAAGTATGATTGATAATTATACTTTTACCATATTTTTACTAACATATTAGCAATAACTGTAATTTTATTTTTTTATATAATAAAAATTACTATTTATAAAAGCCAGTTTTGGAAGAAGAAAAGTCTCAAAAAATTCAAAGTGTATTTCATAGAAAAAAGTATATGTACTTTATATATAAACTATCGGAATTATAAATTAATTATTAAACTATTTTTATAACAAATTTATATCAAATAAGCATATAATTATAGATATATATATAGTGATTATACTTATAAATATATTATAATTTTATTATTACATATATATTAATATAATATATTTGTTACTAATTAATTAACTCGTAATTTTTAATTTCGTATCAATCATCAAAAAATATTTCATCCAGATAGTTTTACAAAAGTAAGTTTATAAATGATTATTTTTTTAAAAAATATAATTAAACGAATTAGGACTTATCTATCCACAGTTTCAAGATTAATGTTTCTGATCGGTGATTAATATTAGATTTTTTTAAAAAAAATAATAACTAAAAATTCTCCATTCTTACGTCCGATTCATCATTTAATTCAGGATTCCAGGATTCTGGAGACTTCAATATCTGCAAAAAAGAGGTAGTAAAAAAAATATAAATTGTTTTTTTATATTAATATTTTAAAAGAAAAAATGAAAAAAACTTAACCCCTGATTCATCATTTATTCCAGGGACTTTTGGCATCTACAAAGAAATGTAATTAAAAAAAAAATTGTTATTTTTTAGTTTAAGAGAAAACATTAAACTTACTTTATTTATTCCAAGATTTTGGAGGACTTCGATATCTACAAAAGAAGGTAAGTAAAAAACATTATTTTTTACATTAATATTTTAAAGAAAAAACATTAAAAACTAACTTCAATTCATCATTCATTCTAAATAAAAGATAATTAAAACTATATTATTTTTTTTTATTTTAATTACAAAAAAAATTAAAATTACCTCCGATTCATCAGATTCATCATTCAATCCAAGATTTCGATGGCTTCAAATGGCTTCAAGTACCTAAAAAGAGAGGTAAAAAATTTATTTTTTTATTTTAATTAAAAAAAATAAATGACCTTCGATTTGTTATTTAATACAGAATATCGAATGACTTTCGACATCTACAAGTCAAGGTAAGTAAAAATATTAAATTTATTTTATTTAAAAAAAGAAAAGATAATAACTTACCTTCGATTTAGAATTCCAGAGTAAACTTTCGTTATAAAAGAGGTAAGAAATATTTAATTATTTTTAAAAATATAAAAAATAGCTTGATCATACAATCTAGCATTTTAGGATTCTAGAGAGACTTCGGCATCTCTACTAATTTTTTTTTTTAAAAAACAATATCTCACTGTTAGAAAGCATCTTTACCA